TAAATACTTAAGTTGTTGGTCAAGACACTTTCCATCTGATGAAGACAAATGCCTTCCCAGATGTAAAAAAGTAGAAAACATTACATTCAGTTATAACTGCCAAAACAAACATTATTTATACTATTATGGCCCCTGTTAAAAATGTTTGTAATGTTATCTACTGTAAGTTGGTCGAACAAATGCCTCCTCATCCGGAAGCTGACCGAGCAGACCCGAGCAACAGTCGAGAGGAGCTGAGCGAATCCGCGAAGCACACAAAATGGTGACGTCAGAGTTCCCGTTAGCCGGCAAATCTAAATCTCTTCGGTCAAAATGTCCGGTCAAAATAATTTCCCTTTAGCGCAATACCGCTTCAGTTGCGCCACTTATGTGACAGACAAGAAGAGTTTGTGACAGACAAGAATAGTCAATTCTAATGTCTAACACTTAATGTGGAGAAAGAGATGTCCTGTATGGGTTGATTGTGCGTTGATCTGTTGGTAATGCCTCGGGGTTCCGGTGGGCATGTAAACAAATGCATAATGCTGCGCTATACTTTGCGGCCTCACCCGGTTGCATAGCGACGCTTATTGTGTCTTTTAATAAGCAGGTAGTCCTATCATTAGCTAGAACTAGCTAGATCTGATCGATATGGAAATAAACGCGAGTGAAGTCTAATCTGACGGGAGAGAAAGATCAGCTGCTGCTGACGAGTCGACACGCAGCTCTGCATAATCACCTGCAGCGGTGAGCGGAACAAAAACAGACCCTTCAGGTTAGAATATCACACGTAGCTATTTTAATTACCTCTCAAACTACCTAAACTAGTTATAGATATGTTTAGTTTTACTGTCGGGTCACTCATCATTACTGATCCGCGAGCTGCATGATACTGACGGGCTGTCAGGAGAGGGAGAGAGCGCTCCGTTTATTATTCCCATGTTATTGTAAATTACTGTACACTTTGAATAGTTAATCTACTATAATTAGTTTGTTTAATATCGAATCATATCAATTTGTTTTAAAGCACAATAAATAACAAAGAAGACCTTTGACCATACCTTTTCTCATTTTGTCTGGAAGATTTCAACTTTAACGGACATGTTGACCGGCGAAAAAGTATTCTAACGGGAACTCTGACGATGCCGCCCATTAAGTGGGCCTGTCTGTCAATGAATCCCTGGGCAACTTTTTCCCCCCAGTCTGCCACTGGTTTGGGGGGGGGGGGCATGAGCGCTCAGTGCCCAGGGGCCCCTGGAAGTACTAATCCGGCCTTGTATATATTGTATTGAAAACAATATGATTTCTTTCTGTAAATGTTTTAAGTTACATTTAGAGAATTCTTGTGGACAGTTAATTAATCCTTTATCTATTTACATTGTTGGGCTTAAGGGTTTAAATGTGTGGAACTGGCCTATAACTTACCTCCTATTCGTTAGGTTAGATTTTCTGTAAATTGTAGTTTCTAAGCAGTAATGTTTTGGTGAAATATGAGGTTGTATAGCCTCAGCCTCCATGAACAACAAGAGCTGATGAGGTAATGCCTAACACTCCAGCAGGCCAGAGACAACACCCCATTCTCTCTGCTCTTCTGTATTTGGCTCATATTTCTGATAAACAGTCATTCATGTTGCTCAACCCCATGACATCACTGCTGTGTTCAGGGTTGTCTTGTGACTGTGACTAAGAGTTTTTATCAGTGGCCCAGAGGGGATTCCTTGCACTCACATGTGTGCTGCTGATTCCCTCCAGCAGCAGCCGGGTGACCTCAGCCTGCCGGTCGAACTCCGTCTGCGCCACACGCAGATCGTGCTCCGCCTGCACACAGATGTGGAGGGGCAGGAAAGACACATTTAGAGGATTGTATAAACATATGTAACTGTATCTAGGAGCAGTCAGAAACAAACAATATCCACTAGTGAAGGTACTTACTTTGTCCACTTCCTCACTCAGCAGCTGAGAGAAGCAACATGAGGACAGAAAAACAGCAGGCATCAATACTGTCTCATTAACACTCACACTTCAATGCAGGAAATCACCAATCTGAAACTACGAGGAGCTAGATGTGGGTTAGTAAGCTCAAAATACTTTCAGGATGTTCTTCAGCTAGCCTGTTACTATGACAATTTCAAGCTCGAGTTTAATGGAGGTTAACTTGATCTGAACCACTGATCCCAGGCCAGTTTGAAGCACCCATTTTAAATCAAACATTTAAAAACTGTTTATTTAATTGAACATATTTTATTAACCTAATTATAATTCAACTTTTTATTTGACTAATTTATATTATGTGTGCAATAGTCAAGATGCAGGAGTATCAGACTTTACTAATCAATGTCTTGATCATGTTTTATAGCAACTGATATGCCAGATTTAAAATGTATTTGTTAAATTAAGGATTTTTTTCTGGTAATGATATAGTAAAAGGTTTGCTTTTATCTGAATATGACATAGTTAATACACCTGAACAAAAAAACGTCTTTACTTTAATTTTGTTCCTTATTTACTATTTATTGGGACAGGATTTTACCAATAGGTAAAACATCCTAACCACAACACAGACTAAATGACAGGAGACTCACTACCACTATCACCAGGACCTAATCTGGTTTCTGCTCCCACATGTTCCAACCTTGCTCTGCTCGGCTGCAGCGGGATCCGTCTCCAGATCCCAGCTCTCCCAGCCGCTGTGCAGCTGGGTCAGTTACAGAGCAACACAGAAACGCTATAAATGTGATCACTTAAGCTGACATCATCACAGAGAACACATCCATGTTTCACTGCACTTCTTACTTTCTAATTTTAAGTCTACATTTTCTCTCTCAAAGAAGAGCTTTTGGCTCTGTTGCTCTGAGCTTAGCTCTTGCTGAAAACCTGTGTTTTTAGAAAACTAAATCACAGCATCTCCCAAACCCCACTGCTGTGTTCTCAGAGGCTCAGCTTTAAACTGCAGCCCAGGTTTGGGCTGAACCGGGCTGCTGTGTTCTGTAGAATCACCAATAATGCCACGACAGATCCTTTTTACACCATTCGGCTCATTTTTTAAAGTACTTCCATTTTTGTATTTGTTATACTTCTTCTTCATTTCCTTCACCACTTTCTTTAGGTCAGTAATTTGAAGATAAGGATTTTACAAAATATATGATACGATGTTATGGATTAAATGACAGTTCAACCTTAACCCACTAATGCCTTCAAATTCTACTTTAACTTTGCTTTTAATAAAATGTCGCTGTGAAATGTTTGGTTTTTGTGACCAGTTAGACTCATTAAGACCATTGTTTCCCTTTAGTATGCTATACTCTGCTATGACAAGTGCAACTACGGAAGTGGAATGGAGTCTTTCAGAGCCTGTCACAGTTCCAGATCATACCAGTGTAAAGCTATAGTAATCATAGTCTTTCTATATAAAAAAAAAGTATAAACAGCATCAATATCAAAACTTGCTAAACATGCTCATGTCTTTATTATATTTGTGTTGCAAAGGTCATGCCACAGTCTGACAAGCATAACTTGTTTAAGAATTCAAAATGCAGCCCCCACTTCAATCCATAAAGCATTCCAAATATATATCATGTGCAGTGCTCATTAGTAGCCGCATCCCATAGTTTAAATATACTGGGACCACAGCGAGGCAGCGTTACACTGGTGAGTACATGTGAAAGGATTTCAGGAGCCTTTTGCTTCATTTACATTATTTTAGTGGTTTGAGTAAGAGTACTTTTTAGAAATTCTAACAATGTATTTTTGAAAATGTATGAAACAAAAAAAAGTCTCCATACCTAACTTTCTACGAATAAATAAAAGATGTTTTTTAAGATAGACTATATACATGTTCTGAAGCCACTGTGGCCTCAGGAAGCTTCCGACACAACATTCAATAGCTTTAGCCAAAGAGCTGCTGGGTCAGGTGAGGCTGCAGCAGCTCTGTGCCCTGATGTGAGCCACATCATCTGTCTTTTGGAGTAGGCCTATGTGGTGTTCTAAGGCTCTGTGCCTGTTAGAATGTTAGCCTAGCTCCTGCTGGGTGACAGACCCTGCAGTTTATGATGGACTCTTACCGCTGATGCACTGGCAGAAAGAACACAATTGCGAGGCCTGGTCTCCTGAAAAGCAGTTGCAGCCTACAAACAAGAGCAGGGAGGAGGAGACACATGTTGGCACAGTCATGCATTACAATTATAAAGCAGAACAACAAAAACAGTTAGCCAAAAGCAAAAGGCAGAACACTGAGAACACGCTGTGGTGTCTCATAGCAACGCAGTGCAAATTATTTATGACTGGATCATTTATTAATTGCTGTTAAAGTATAAATAGAATGCTTTAGTAAGTTTTGCTTTAACTTTAACTTATTATCCTCACAGGATCATTTTATTAATTTGAAGCAGACTCAGTCCAGTCTGTAGCTGTGAGAGGGTCTCCATCCTTTACTGTACGGAGCAGAGGCCTGTTTCACAGACACATGTAGTTCAGCTGTCGCTGGACTCCACTCAGGTTTTCACAGAGCTGGTCCACTTTGAACCTGCATGGATCATCATGGTGAGCTACGCTGCTGAAAACATTCTAGTGAGAGATACATAATGCAGTACCAGAATCTCAAGGTGTTTATTTAACTTTGGGCTTTTTCCCATTATTATGCTGACCTTTTCTTCTTCTATGGATAACCCTTACATATTTTTGACTGCTGAGTATGTCAAACAATGCTTACCCTATTGAGAGAGGTCTATCACAATTCTTTTGACATTTCCTTATAATTCTAAATAGTCTTATTTGTTTGATTATGTATACAGTTTTAGGTGGCTGAATATTATTATGCTTCATGACACCAGCGCTAATGTTAGCTCAGAGTAGCCTGTGTGTTCTGGCTACAGACACAGCATCGTGTGGTCGGTATTAAGAGGCTTTTCTTTTTGATTTACATGCAACAATGCAGCCATCAGAACATCTGAGAAGCTTTTATTTCCTTTTAAAGATGCCGTTTTCTCAGCACAGACATGCTATCTGAAGAAGTGCAACACAGTAGGAACACAATGACGTTATCGTTGAGAAAGCGAGACTTTATGATCTGACATGAAAATGCAACTGCAACTCTCTTCTTTGGGCTTTTTCAGTCATTTAATGTACAGATAGCTAGCACAAGATGCAGCACATTAACAGTGGGCATTAATAAAAGTAAAACAAATGCCAAAGTTTCCTCACTGCAATCACCTTCTCTCAGCTATAGCATCAGCAGACACAACAGAACCAACGTTTCATCTTACCGCTGCTTTGGCTTCTGCCTGCTTGGCTTTTTTCAGGCGTGCTTTGCAGATGTCGAGATCCAGTCGCCGATTCTCCATTAGTCGCCTCTCTTTCTAAAAAGGAGACAGGAAGCACCCAATCAGAAACCAGGGACCTGATACAGAAAACAATCGTTTGAAAAACAAGGTTTCTATTCAGCTAACAGGACAGTGAAGCTCTCTACAAAAATGAGCTCCAAATCTGTGATGTCCATGGCAGCATACCATCATATACTCCTGCTTTTTCTGTTGGGTTTTTTACCAACACAATGTCTAACAGTATAGTATAGGAAGTCTTACTGATATAGTCCTCCAGTCTCCTTCCAGGAAGTTGCGTAGAGGAGTGAGGAAGGTGGCAGCTGAGGTTTGGAGGAGCTCACGCTCAGCCCCGCCGAGTCTCTTCTGGTACTCCCCCACTGTGATTAGGGTGCTGCCTGCACATACACACATGCACACACCTATTACACATTATGTCAAATCAGACCAACAGATTTTTTGGTTGCCTAGAGTAACTAAAAGAGCTGGATAACAGTAAAGATCCGGCAGTGGCTCAGTCAGTAGGGGCTTGGACTGGGAGCCGTAGAGTTGCCGGTTCAAGTCCCCGACCAGAGCTAAATATGGAGTGTGGACTGCTACTTGGAGAGGTCCAAGTTCACCTCCTGCCCTGCTGTGGTGCCCTTGAGCAAGGCACCGGACAACCCCCCCCCCCACTACCCGCCTCACTCTCATTGCTCCCTGGGCGCTGTACAATATCTGCCCACTGCTCCTAGTACTAGCCTCCTGGTGCTAGGAGGGGTTAAATGCAGAGACCACATTTCACTGTGTGTGCTGTTTGCTCTACATGTGAGCATTAAAGAGGGTTTTCATCCCTCCAATTCTATCCATCTTCTAATGCAGGGGTGGGCAACCTTTTTCCTCTCAAGGGCCATTTCAATGTTTACAATATCCTCTGAGGGCCGTACAAATTATTGACCTCTGCTTAAAAATACTAAAATCACAGCCCATTCATTTGGCCTTTCTTTCATGCTGTGCAAAGAAAAAGCAACCTCTTAATCCAGATATCGTACCATGACTCGCGTATTCATGCACGGTTGTGGCACGTGCTCTAGGTTGGTCCGGGGGGAAACACCCTAGAGGAGTTTAGGTCCCCCACCACTTAAATCATGTTCACATGGATAGGAAACTAAATACATTTGCATACATCTTGTGTCCATATCTTTCTGTTTTGGTGGTCAAAAAAAATCTTCCCGGGGGAGCATTCCCTCCGCATTTTTTTTTTAAATGTTGAAGTTAAAAGCATCAATCTGGTGCACTTTCAGAGCAACATTAGGAGATCTATGGATACATCTCTCAACATCCATATGAAACAGAACTGTAAACAGATTTATTTTTCTTTATGGATATTTTACAAATCACCCCTTTCAAAACTGTATTCTTATTTATTAATAACAACTTGTTTTACTGTCATATAGTATTTTATATGTGTTTACTTTATTCTCTTGTTCTCTTGTCAACTATAATGATCATATAAAGATGTGCCTTTACCTCACTTGTTGTAGAAAAAGCTTCTTATATTTGTTAGCATAGCTAGCTAACCAGATGCTAATAACAACAAAGTTATTGACTGTATTATCAGTATGACAGATGAACAGATCGCCACTGGGCTTTCAACTAAAGACACAGCCACGCAAAAACTGCAGCATTTGTACAGTTCCTTATGGGTGCTGCAATTTTTGGAAGTGCCGGAGCGACTTTCTGGTGCCCTCAGTCAGAACTGCACCCCTATCAGACGAGACATATACCACGTGATGACACGTTAGGCTCGTGTTGTGTTCAAGGACCCTGACCTTGGCTAGGAAAAACAGGCACTC